TATCAATGCTTGGTAACTGGRGCAAAGGATATCTTAGTCAATCAGCAATACAGTTAATAGTATTTTGCAAAATAATTAGTGTAAGCCACCATAAAAGAAACACATGCAGACCAATACGAACCAATCGACTCGATAAATCATGCACAAAAAGATATTGAACTGTCAAAATTGACGTTTACCTGTTCCTGGTCAAAAGCCTTGCACAAGGCGTACGATTTTCCCTTYCTGTAAGGACCAGAAATTGCTACAACACATACCGGACCCTCAATTTCACGCAGTTGATCTAATGCTTGCGGTAATATATCAATTGCTTCGGGATTCGATGTGATGCGATCGCACTTGCCGGTGGTAGCATCCCAGCTATAGTTGTTTGGTAACACAAGAGGAATCGCTTGTTTGTTTGTTCGGCTTGCCATTTCAGTATACTTCTCAGAAATCCTGAAGATTGAAGAATACTACATCGATTACATACAGCAAGGCTGGGTGTGCTTGGAGTAACTATCCCCACCCATAACCTCCTGCCTACGGGGTCTGGTTATGTATAAGCAACGTTGGACGATCGGAGTGTTTACATAGTTATAGCCCTTAGTTCGCTTATACTACTGCGTTTGTTCAAATTATCTGAACTTTGATTCAACGCATACCTTGACCTGATTCAACTTGAATATGATATAAGGTCTGAACTGATAGATTCTTGCACGTCTGAATCAAAATCGCGCTTTGAAGTAAACACAACGCTTTGGAGTTAGTAAACGCACGCACAAATGCTGAGGTTCCTGGAATCGAGAATTTTATATATCCACTATAGGTCAATCATGCGCAAAAGGAACAAAAGTTGGCAAGATAAACAAAGTCGCGACAAAGTGTCAACATTTCTTAGGGCACTGACGTTTCTGCATTCCACCGTTGCTGATAACGGCACCAATCTGACAAGAAAGCAATACACATATGAGTATATACAGTAAATGTGCACATTTTAAAGGGCAAATTCTTGTCGAATACAATTCTTTACAACTTGTTTAAAGGCGAAATCGGGTAGACAGAAGTCACGCAGAGGTCTKTCGCTCTTCCGCGAAAAGCTGCTTTTGTAGTTCATCTTCCGCGAAATCAATGATACATTTGAGCATGCGCAGGAATGTGCTAAGCAAATAGATTGACATACATTTACAAAGGTCAAATTTCGCTTTAGACTCTTTTATCTTGAAATAATTTCATACAAATCACTAAAAAAAAGTAAAATTTCACTATAATTACTGTATTTCTTATATGTCTAAAGGAAAAGACATCTTTACCAGATCGAAAAAAATTTTAATTTTAATTTTAATTGTTTAAAAACAATGTAACACGATTACAATGTGTTTATTATTTAAAAGATCAAGATGTCACTTCCTCTTATTCCGAGAATTCATGAATACATTTGAGCAAGCTCGGATTGCATGCAAATTGAAGTACGAAACTGCAACGCATACATTTGTTTTGATACTCGTTTGAGAAACACTGTTGGAAGAAGCTTTGGAGGACAGTTTTTTGTAAACACACACCGATGGAAGAGCTCGAGAGAGCAATACCGTTGTGTCTGCCAGACAATTATTATTGGGATCAGGAGACCAATGAATGCATCAAACAAAGTGAAAATCGATCCTCGTACAAACCAGAGAACAAAGCATTACGTCGACTGGAAGCCATTCAAGGTCCAGTTTGTGTTGTAGCTGTAGCAGGCCCGTTAMGAAAGGGRAAATCTTTTATTCTATCTCAACCTTTTGCTGGAAATCGAGAAATCTTTCCATTGGGACATGAAATGGAACCGAAGACT